CCAAGTACTCTGGCTTGATGGGAGGGGTTCATTGTAGTGCTGTTGATTGTGATGGAGAAATCGGGGGAGAGAACTTGGAGAGGAGGAAATATTATACGCTCAGTTTTGGACAGATTGAGTTTGATGTAGTGGTGTGACATCCTTGCCCAATGAAGGGGTTCCTGTGTGTCCCCGAAACGTCGCACTGAGTGTGTTATTTTGCTTTTGATGTACGTCAATAAATAGACGTAATCGATTTACTATTGGAGTGCCGGTGTCTATTTCTTGTCTGCATTACTTTGACGGTGGCTATCCGTCGACTACTGAGCACCCAGGATACTTTGTTGGACGTGCGGTCAGGAGTGCAATGGGTACATGGACTGTATCCATGCTGAGATGTCACTGAGTAGATTAGTGATACACAAAGAGACAGAATAGGTGAGCTAAGGAACGTAGAGATAGATTTGGGTGTCATCAGCAGGATGGTATTGGAAGCCATGGGAGGCTATCAACTGACCCAGGGAAGAGGTGTAGATGCAGAATAGAAGGGGTCCAAGGATAGACCCTTGGGGGACACCCACGGAAAGAGAAAGAGGAGAGAAGGAGGTAGAATTGTAGGTGACCCTGAAGGTGCGTGAGATAGGTAGGAGGTGAATCATGAGAAAGCAGAGTCTTGGAGGCCATAGGATTGGAGTTTATTAAGGAGAAGTGGGAGGTCAGCTGTGTCAAAGGCAGCATAAAGGTGTAAAAGTATGAGTATAGAGTAGTGGCCATTGCTTTTAGCAGTTAGTAGATCGTTAGTAAGTTTTAGAAGGGCAGTTTCAGTCAAGTGCTGTGCCAGATTGAAACGGGTCAAGGAGATTGTTAATGGTAAGATAGCAGCTCAGGCAGTTGTAGACCAGCTGTTCAAGAAGTATTGAGGTAAATGGGAGCAAGGAGATGGGTCTCAAGTTGTTGAGACTGGTGGGCCCCATAGAGGGTTTTTTCTATATGGGGGTCACCATATTAAAGATGAGAGTAAAGAGATTGAAGATGTGAGTAAGAGAGTGTAGAATAGAGCTAGAGGGTGACCGGGGTAGTTGTGAGGGGATAGGATCCAGGGGGCAGGTAGTTAGGCCTGTGTTAGACAAAAGAGTAGCGACTTTGTCAGTAGTAATTGAATCAAATTAACAGAATAGTAAGTGTGGTGGTAGACAGGGTGTGTTTGGCGTGGGAGAGGTCTGGACAGTGGAGATTTCATAGTGAATTGCGTCACTCTTATCTCTGAAGTGATCTCCTCGGCAGTTAGTGAGTTGGTTGGAAGAGGAGGAAGGGGATGAAGAAGGCAGTTGAAGGTAGAAAAGAGCTGAGGAGGACCAGATGAGAGGGTGTTAATGAGTGTGATTAAAGATTTGAAGTACACCTGTGATTTAATATGTAGGCTGCCATTGTGACTAAGCCCCCATTCACATCTGTGTAATTTTCTGTCTGCTGGCCATTGCAAGACAATGCATAACAAAGGGAATTCCATTCTTTTCTATGGGGCCCATTTACACCTATGTTGTGCTGTTTTTGGCCCCATATAGATCAAGTGTAGGGTATTGGGAGAGCATGAAAAATTAATTTCAATGCATCAAAAACATGCATTAACTCATGTGTAAACATAAACGCAGAACAAAAACACACTAAAAACATGCTAAAAGATGCATGAATATGCACTCACACCTATGTGAATGGAGACTTAGTGCTGAATTGGTAAAGTGACAGTGTCTCCACTCAGGTTAGTGTAGTCACTGTTAGACCAATAATTTTCCACCCAGCTAAGTCGGTTTTTACATTGACTTTTGTTGAGCCAGTTCGAGCCAACCACAGCTCGATTTCAGCAGGAATCACCAGGAATTCAAGCTGCGTGGCTAGCTTAAAGCTGGCCATACACTAGTAGATTTCAGGACGAACATTCGTATGAAAGATCTTTCTTTACCACCTGATAATGGCACTTGGTGATACTTGATGATTAACAATTGAAATTTTATTTTATTTTAACATTCTATTTTTGAATGGAGTATCCCGAACGAAAACCACATTCGCCGTTAGAATTTTGTTCGTTCAAGAAAAATTTTACTTCCTGATCCTTCGACTTTTTTTTGTCACTACCGTCGAAATTGATAGTCGCTTTGACCCCATGAACCCCATGAATGAAATAAAGTTATTTCGTACAAAAGTTAATTAAAAACAGTATATGGCCAGCTTCCAAATGAAGTGTTAAGTCTTCCTGGGCAAGCCTTTCCCACCTTTGCCTAAACATTGCACAACATCTGTCAGTTGGATTTGCATACTTCAAACCATTTAGCATTATCTTAGGGGGCTATGTAAAATGGACACCTGTAGAGTGAGACAAAGGTCAATGCAAATTTAAAGGAATGTTTTTTAGTGCTCCCTGGCTCTCAAAAAGCATACAGTGCTACATTCTATACATTTTCTTTGCTACAGATTTGTACAACGCAAACATACATTTTCTTTTTTAAATTGTATTGATCAAGATACTCAATTAATACAATGTTTTACTTAAGTGTCATAGAAAATAAATGGTTATCACTGTGGCCTTACAGTGCTGGGGCTTTGAGACACTTCCCAGCAGTGAAATCTCATGCAGTTGTATGTTCTCTGAACATTTTTAGTGGGTTTCCTCCAGATGCTCCAGTCCTACCTTCACTGTATACATAATCTGATATGTTAAAGCACATGTTAGCACTAAAAGAACTTCAAGACGTCCATCTGGCCGTTCACAAACGGCCATGGACGTAAGGTAGTTAATAAATATACCATTGTAAGCATTTTGTTATATCTACTTGATAAGTTCAAAAAAACCTGTTAATTTTGCCAGAAATCAAGTTGAGTTGATACCTTTGTGTGCTCTCTGCCACTTCTGCACTGTTAGAAGTTAACATTGTTATAAGCTATCTCTGTGGGCTGCAGAACCCCTCTTGCCATGTTATGAAGAAGAGGAAGTGTTGTGTAGTCCTTAATACATCCTGTCTTTTGGGTAACATTGCTGCTCTTCCACATTTACACTACATTGAGGGAGAGGTGTCACCTTAGGACAGGAAGTGTGTTTCTGGCTAAAAAGTCAGGTGAAACTAAAAGACAAAAAGCCCAAAAAACTAATGCCGTCACCACATCCAAGGACTGGTAAGTTGCAATATATTATATTTTGGTTCTTGGGTATACTTTAGATAAACTTTAGGTTTTTGTTTTTACAAAACAGGTCCTAGATTGTGTGTGACTGTGTGCTGTGGGGTAATAGAGTATAAGCTCCATTAAGGGCAGGGACTCATGTGAATTTGTTAACTCCTGTAAAATATGTTGACAATATATAAATTAATAACACAATGCTATTTCTAAAAAAGACAATTTACAGAAAATAAATAAAATCACAGCTGCCATTTTTAAGCAGACTGGACTGTAAATCACCAGGATGGTATACAAGGGGTGAGGAGTTTTGGGGCTGTTGACCTGTAGGATAAACCATAATATCTCTTCTGTCCAGTGGAAATGTAGTAGGAAGCACAGGATGTCCAGCTTCTTGAGCTGTTCTGCCAGATAATGACAATCCTATTGTTTCATGTCACTAATGGCTCAAAAGAACAAACATCCTGGACTTAACACTTCATTTGCTCAAGTTCCTAGACATCAGATTGAACAAGTCAGATATTAAAGTACAGTTACACTGTACATTGTGAACAGTGAAGTTGTAGACTAGAGTTACCATCCAATTTATTTATGTTCATACAGTGGGATTGATACTCTCACAGAGGTGGCAGCCTTCCTTAGCTGTATGCTAGCGGCAGGGGACAGACAGGACAATCATTAGTTGTCATCTATGTGCACTCTGGAATTTTAGCAAGAAGTATATTGGACTTTAACAGTTTTACAAGTTGGTATGGTACTCAACAAACAGAGAATAAAAAACATGTTATGCATTATGTAGGCTTAAATGTTGTTATCATCAAACAATGGCCAACGGACCAGATACTGACATTCTGGTTGTTGCTAATATGGCCTACTTGATGAATAAGTGGTAGCAGGACAGAAGCAGTGACAGCAAGCACTGCTGTCACGATACTACTCATTTATCCGCTACAGCAATCACCACTGTTTCCTGACCTGCCTTTTACACAGATACACTAGACAAAATAAGCAGTTAACCCTTGCAGTGCAGGGGTATCTCCACTGCAAGGGGAGATTTTTTTAAATGTCCCTGGAGAGAGACTTTAAGTATAGACTGGATACATCAGTGGTACAATTAGTCGTTAGGATCACAATTATGTGTACGCATTGCCCACTAAAACTAATAAGCTATTATTCACAAAACAAGTAGATTCAGTCTCTGCATGCAGCCAAAATTCTGTTAGTGTGCACATGTTGTAAATGTTACATCCTTGGAACTGCTTATAGTGGCTGTTTTCCATAGCCCCACCCCTTTTTCCAATTGCTTTGATGCTGAATGAATGATTAACAGACATATGCATCCACATCTTTGTAGCATGGCTAGCCAGGACAGGGTTATGGATTGGCCAGACACAAGCATATGCTGGTTAGCAATATAAAGTATAAATAACCAGACGAGTTATATGACACAGCTATGTGTAATGTCACAACACGCCCTTCTAATTTACACTTGGCATTTTAGTCAGCTGTTCTGTGATCGCCAATATATCTGTCACATTAATATGACACCCATTTGTGAGTTAGAGCCACCCATTTTTACTAGTTTATTTCATGTGTAATTCCTGTATATCCAACTTAATCTACAGCAGTGGTTACAATCTGCCATCACTAGGAAGTTTACCATAAGTGTTTCTGGCATCCTTCTGCTGCCAATCAATTAGATTTAAACTAGCCACACACATGTATGTAGTGCTGATTCAGAGCTGTACAGAAATCTGTTTATGTGGAATCATAGAAGATAATACACTCATAAAAAGTGGACTCACATGTATAAAACAATGATTGGAAAACTTAGAAAATGTTTCCTTACATAGCGCCCGTCCTCCTCTATAGGGCAGTTAAAATCACCGCCCAGGATTACTGCTCTGGTTGTGGCGATCTGGGTCCGCAGGGTCTGGAAAAGCTCCAGTCTCGAATTCTTGTCCGGGGGGGCGTACACGTTGATGAGCCTAACTGGCGAACCGTCTATGACCAGAAGGCGGCCACAGACGAGCTCATGGACGGATTCAACCGTGAGATGCCCTCCCCTGACAAGAACGTCTACACCCGCAGACTTACAGTCGCCACCCCCAGACCAGTAAGAGGGACCATGGGTCCACTCGGAGGACAGAGTGCTGTACCTCCTAGAGTAGGGTAGGGCGCATTCCTGCAGCATGAACACATCGCTACGCTGGGAGGAAAGAAAAGTCAGCACCATCTGCCTTCTAGACGTGTCCTTGATACTCCTCACATTGATGGAAAAGATGGAGATCTCAGCCATAATGTAGAGAGAGAAAAAGGGCTAGTCGGCAGGGGCCGATACTTACTTCCCCTGGAGGGGCTCGAGTCCATCCGCCGTCTCGGGGGACTGACCCGTGTCCTCTTCCTCCTCAGCGGCTCTCTGCTCGTTGAGCACCCTGATCGCCTCGTTGATGCCCACAAAGGCGTCCGCCCCCGGCTGGGGGCCTTCCTCCACCTCTGTGTTCACCGAAGCCTCAGTGTCCTCCTCCCGCATGTCTTCGCCGTCTGTTACCTGTTCGTCGTCGTTGTCGTCATGCTTGAATTTAATACTTGGACCACTGCCTCCTGATGTTTCTCTGTCATTCTTGATCTAGGTCAATAAAAATATTGATGCCACTGGGCAAGGCCGGATTTACTCCCCCTGCCACTACGGAGCCGGTGGGCGGAGCCTCGGGCCGCCCCGTCGTGATTGGACGGTGGCGGACCGTAGTGTGCGGCCGACGGACACCTTACACCGGTGCCCACAAACTTCCCCACAAGGTCACCGCTGCCGCCCCTCTGCCCTCTGCCGCCCCGAGGCCGGGCCTCGGTGGCCCTGTGGGAAATCCGGGCCTGCCACTGGGTCAGATAACAGTCAGAAAACTGTATTTTCAGGATGAGCAACACCCCCCTCTTCCTATAATGATCTCATGACAGAATGATCTCATGACTCTTGTTTTAAAGTGACATTAAACCCTCAGATTTTTTAACATAAAACAATACTGTAATGTGTGCCTTACTGTAATCCATGGTTGTTTCCCTTCTCTTTGCTGCTCTTCCTTTTAAATCTGTATCTGTTATCATGCTGGGCAGAACTTCTGTTTTGCAGCAGACTGCCTTGTCTCAGGAATGGATACATGGTGTCTGTGTATACGTTTGTATAAGCTTGTAACCTGAGCCAGCACTACAGGAAGAGGCCCTGAGCTGAAAAGGGAAGTTCTCCCCAAGCATGAGAAGACATGAGGATTTAAAAGGAAGAGCAGCAAAAAGAAGGGAAACTGCCATTGATTACAGTAAGGCACACATTACAGTATTGGTTTATGTTAAAAAATCTGAGGGTTTAATGTCACTTTAAGGTAAAATACCAGCATGTGAGCTAAATGATTAGTATGCCATACTTGCAACTCTTGGGTCATCTGCTGGTTCCACAAAGTCATCTTCCTGAAATTAGTTCTCCTTGTATCTGTGTAGTTTTTTTCCCTCCCACACTGCAAACTTACTGCTCGGTTAATTGGCTTTTATGATGGGTGTGCATGCTGGTAAATGTAGTAGGATCAATAGAGTATGACTTCCTCTGTGGGAATGGATTGAAAGTAATTCTGTTCTGTGCAACAAACACTGTAAAAAAAACAACAACAAAAAAACGATCAGGGCGATATAAAAATGAAACAAAACATTAGAGCACATTAGCTCCTATAGTTATCTTGCTAGAGATATTTAATATACATTTCACAAATTAACTGTCCACTCATAGATATCTTTTAAAGTAAAACAATGGCCTCCCATTAAAAAATATGTTCTGCAGCACTTAATTATAACTGCATCAGCTGCAACCTACAGTTTTATCTTAGTCCCCTTGCAAATTCCTGTTGATCCTGCTCATAAAAAGCAGCTTCCTCTGATGGTGTGACAATGATGCTGCACTGCTCCTGAATTCAGAGCAGAGTTGCCATTCTCGAGAAGGCTGTGCCTGAGAGTTTTTATGTTTACTTTATGAGACTTGTGCATCACATAATAACTGGATTTGAGACTTGTCTAGACAGGGGCTTTTAGTTGTACTTTAACTAGTAAGAGCCTTGACAGCATTACAATGAAATCCAGGACAACATAATCACCCCAATGATAAAAAAAAACACTGCTCCTGACAAGGTCGATCTAGAAGTTTGTAAACATACTTATTGAAGATGCGCATAAGATGTACTTCCTCAATGCACTACCACAATTTCACTGAGCCATGTGAATGTGGACACCCTTGTGTCACAGCTCTCACACAAAATACATTTAAAAATACAAAAAAAGTAGTTCCCCCAACCCTGCAAGCATACACATACTAACGTAAACAAAAACGTGTTGGGTGTGCCTACGTACAGGGCCGGATTTCCCACAAGGCCACAGAGGCCTGGCCTCGGGGTGGCAGGGAGTAAAGGGACGGCACAGCCGCTGAGCAGGATGTTTTTTTCTTCATTTAGCCCTGCTTCGGGCAGCTGTGACAGGAGAGCCAGCACAGTATGGTGCTCAAACTCCTGTATTGGAGGTGACAGATTCAATAAAAAGAACCCGTCAACTCCAAATGCTATCACATAGGGGCTTGTTAGCTCCTGTGTGATAGCAATAAAGGTAAGTGAAAAATAAAATAACATTTAAACAATTGATAAAAAGTAAAAAATAATAAAAGAAATACAAATTACAAGAAATAAATAAAAAATAAGTAGAAGAAGTAATAAGTAAAATTAAAAAGTGATTAAAAAAATAAAAAATAATAAAATGCAAAAATCATAAAAAATAGAAAAATAAAAGATAATAAGATAAAAAAAATGTAAAAAAAAGTTAAATAATAAATAGAAATTAAAAAGTGATAACAAAAACTTAAAACCAACCCTGCCACCCCCTGCCATCTGGTTGCCATTCTCCATGGGAGGGGGTGCACTGAGGATCCTGGCCTCGCCAGAGTGAGAGTAATAATTCTGGGGCCCATATTAATGGTTAACTTTAAACTGATGACCTGTATAGGCTTTTAAAGCATTGCCTATGGACAATTTGGGGTGCTGCATTTTGTTGCCACTTCACAGATGCACACAATTTTTAAGCTTGGCGTGTTGTGTATCTATTTACTCGGCATAACCTCATCTTTTATATTTTACAAAAAAATGGGTATTATATTGTGTTTCTGTGCACTAAAATTAACTTAAGTGTAATTTTTACTGAAATTTTGGGTTTGATAAAGAGTTGTGCAAATATTATGCAACATAAAGATGTGTCATTTTTTCATGCCTAAAATGTGGATTGTAACGTGCAAAAAAAATGCCTTGGCAGTAAAAGGGTTAAGGGGTTAGGTGTTAGGAGGAAGATTAAGGGCCATTTTCACCTCTGCGTTTTGGTGTATTATAAAATGCTGCCTTGCCTTGCTGTAGTTTGTAGCAAAATGCTCCTTATATGAGGCTGAATGGTAATGTGTGTAAAATGCATGTAAAAGGCCCTCTAACGCACTTATATATACTACACCTAAAACACAAAGGTGGGAAATGGCCCATGTTTAATAAAGGCTTACTAGGTCTCAATTTTTAATGCAATCTGTGTGGTGATGTAGTTTGCGGTTTGCAATATACATTTGCTGAAGACTGTTCAGCTTCCATGCTGACATGTGCTGCACCCAGTTCATGTCATACTGTGAGGCTTCTTTAAACTGTCTGCAGAAGTAATCACATCTGCTTGCCCTTGGAAACCTAATTGTTTGGACAGCTAATCACATCTACATTAATGAACCACTGAAAACACTTTAATGAATAGAACACAGCTTTTTTTTCGAATGCAAATGAGCTTCAATTATTTCACGGTCCTTTGCTAGCAACCTTAAAGAAGAGAGCAGCTAGACAAACACATACAAAGTGTATCAGCGAAATCTTTGGAATACACCTAGGGACAAGTATCCATCTTATTGAAATACTTGTGTTAGAGGGGAAACTAAAGATTAAATTGATGTCTTTTTATAAAACGATTGCAAACATCCAATGATTAGAAAATCACAATTGCCCTCATTTGCAGGTTTACAAAGACTAGGGCATAGAAAACTGGTGTGTAGCTGCCAGCCAGGTTTCATGTGTACAGGGATTCAAGTCACCTGATTGGTTCTTTGCACAATGGCTCCATTTCACCTTTCCCTAGTGTCAGTGAATCAGCCTCAGTGTATTATCTGTACTGCCATGGCAACCATAACTTAGTTGGTAACTAAAGTTTCTGACTTCTAAATGGTACTTGATAGATACTGTTGTGACAATCACTACCAATACTAAGCTTGGGGGCTGGTTGAAGACATTCCCAAAATGATGGGAATAATATCAAGCAGCTTTGGACCTACTACATCCCATGGACCATGTAGCGGTCACTAGCAAAACTTAAGGTGGAACTCCAGGAATAATCTTTTGGGTAAAATGAGATTAGGCCTGCTTGACTCCATCAATATCTGGTATCTGGAGGGCCACTGTGGATGCTCAAAGTAACTGTAGTTGTCTATACTACATACAGTCAGTGCTGGTCTCTTTTGCTATGCTGGCTTCCATTCTCAAGTTTCATTCCTCTCATTCTTCTCCAAAGGCTAGTTGCCTGGCTTTTAAACTTCTGAGTAACAGATCTGGAATAAGCATATAAGAGAAGACATGAAATACCATTCTCACCGCTTGTACCACCAATCTTCATTCTACGATTGTGGAAGAGTATTCTGAATCTGATATCCTTTCAGGTGGTGTGTTGGATGTCTTGTCCCCTGCTGTGTCCTGAGGTTCCATCCTCTAGATGTGTCCTGTACTGACACAGGGGCCAGCAGATGGAACCACAGCATGCAGAGGGGAGACTATTCATCTGACAAACACAGAAGTGTGTTGGGTGCAAAAGATTCTTCAGTAGCTTCATTTCCTCAACAGAGCGGTGATTGGCATCTGAACTGGTATTAATACAAATCTTCTTTTAGTCCCTGTTCACGCCTTTGCAATTTAAAAGAGCTATGGCTGACAAAAGGAATCCCATTATTTTTAATGGGACCCATTAACAACTATGCAACATGTTTTTGTGCGACATGGAAAATAGTGCAGGCACTTCTTTTGGTGCATTTTTAGCCCCATAGACCTCCATCAAAGTGCATGAAAAATACATGAAGAATGCGTGTAACATTCATTTTCGTGCATTTTATCACATGACAACAAACTCCCACCCCCAGTGACATATTTTATTTCACCGTCATTGGTTAAAACAAAACTGTATCATGCATGAAAATCTACACCGGTAGACTTTTGCACGAGCGTTCTTACGAAAAATCTCTTCAGAACATCCAATGATGCTATCAGAGACTTGACGAATGTCTATCGAAATTTCATTTGATATCAACATTCAATTTTGGAAATGAATAGAGTTTCCTGAACGAAAGCCACACTCACTGTTAAAATTTCCTTCATGAAACAAAGAATTTCCGCTCTGCTCCTTCAATTTTTTTTCCTCACTAAGACTGAAAACGATTCTCGATTTGACCCATGTTCCAAAAACAAGTGTTTGTGAACAAAACTCTACTCGCATATGGCCAGCTTAAGGCCACTTTCACATGGGCACCTCCATTCCATCTCAGCAGGAGATCTGTAGACGGACATATGTGACATCCTTGTCTGTTCCATTGTTTCCTCCATCCCATGATAGAGGAATAACTTTTATTCCTGGGGTGGCCGGCTGTAAACAGATGTGTGCACACTTTTATATCTGCCCACATCCGATCAGGTTTACAGAATCGGGGCTGGATGCAAACTTATTGCCCTTGCTGCAATAAACCTGAACAGTCCCGGATGTAAACGGACATACATCTGTTTACTTTGCGGTCTGTTTCTGATCCGTCTAATGACTAAATGTCTGTGGACCTTACACAGAGACATTTTTTTAGTCTACTATAGGTGGTGACAGAGTTGCTGTAGGTGCCATTCACACCTAAACGTCAGTGTTTCAAGTTTTTTCTCAGGCTTTTCTTAAGCATTTTTGAGCATTTTTACACTTGTCAATGCCCGTTTGCCAAGTGTTTTTTCGCATGTTTTTCAGCTTGTGCTGTCCTCCATTTTGTTCCCCAGTTTTTTTTTTTGCACAGGAAGTGGCTCTTGCACGACAAAATGCTCAAACGCTTAGGGGCCATAGAAAAAAATGGGATTCCTTGTGTTCAGACTTTTCTATCTCCGAGCTTTGAGCTACAAAACGCCTAGGCGTGAACGGGGTGCGTGTTGCCACTGAAAGGAATGGGCTGCCCTACGCGTGACAAACGTGGCAAAGAAGCTCATGCAGCAGTTTGATCTGCAAGCTTCATGCATTTTCTGACTGCATGTTTAAAAAGTAATTGTGCCACAAGTGTGTAACATGTTTTCCTGTGTTGCTTTGGCAAAGTGTGACTGGGGTCACTCTAAGGGCCACTTTGACATGGCTTCCAGTGAGGTGAATATCACACAGCCACTTTGTCAAGGCTTCCAGTGAGGTGAATATCACACAGCCACTTTGTCAAGGCTTCCAGTGAGGTGAATGTCACACAGCCACTTTGAGAAGGCTTCCAGTGAGGTAAATATCACACAACCACTTTGTCAAGGCTTCCAGTGAGGTGAATGTCACACAGCCATTAGCTGCTGGGAGATGGTGCAGATAAGCAGTGTGAAGCATAGACGACGAGTGGCCAGCAGGTGGCGCTGTACATGATGCTGCTGATGATAATGGCTTTACTGGAGCTACAATCAGGTGTGGGCTCTTCATTCGTCTCTGGCACTGTGCTGTAGGAGGAGCTTCCTCAGCCCGAAGTGCCCTTAGAGGCACACACCTCTCTCTGCAGTAGAGGAGGGCAACACAAGGGGGGAGGAAGCTCCTGAGCTGTCAAGTGTCAAATCATTCCAGCAGCTGTGCGATGTGGTGCTGAACCCTATACATCACCGACACCCAGCGCTGCTTTGTTTCATTCACTGAGGGGGACACAATATAAGCAACGTGAGTCTCTTCCATTCAGCTGCCCGGAATCACTGGAGGAGCTCCGGGCAGCAGCTCATGATGTGCTTAGAGAGTGATGGAGCGGGCACGGGTGGCAGCAGCCAGGACTGCATCCCGGGAGCGGAGGACGGCGGAGGAGTGGAGACCTTGTCTGGCAGGATAAACCCCGTCCCGACCGTTCTGGATATTAAATCCCCCGAGATCGAGAGCCCGGCTATCAAAGCCTGCCTGGACAAGAAAGCCCCCAATATGAAGAGAGCCAGGGTGGCAGCGGCTGGCATCCTGAGTGTGGGCAACGTGCTGAATTACCTGGACAGGTATACAGTGGCAGGTGAGTGATGTGTGTAGACTGTGATCAGCTAGATGACCAGTGGTAGTAAATGATCAGCAGAACCTGTATGTATAAAGGCCACCATGTCACAGAGCAGTGCAGCCACTGTGTACACTGGATTCTAGCAGCATCTAACCTACTGATCACATCCTACACCATGGCTGCACATAGCCAGGGGACACTAGAAAGAGCAGCACGTGCATTCTTTTATGTACTTGCTGGATTAAAGATCTCCTTTGGGGGTAAAATGGAAGCAGGCAGGGGTGATGTGCATGAAATCACTGGCTTTTGTTCCTCATTATAAAGCCAGGATTGTCAATAAAACAAGATTTCCACCACCGTCTCATCACATTTGTTAAACATGTATTGTAAACACTGCATGGATAGTGAGCTTGTTGTATATTTAATACATGTTTTTTAAATCTATTATACAAATATGAATCCATAGTGTGACCACATCCTGTACCTGGTGTCAGCAGGACAAACTTGTATTTTCATTATCAGAGGCACTGAAGGCATTCAACAATTGGGAGGCAATAGCATTCAAGGTCATTTCGGCTGTCTATGTCTCGTATATTTTTGAATATTTTACTATGTAAAGACGCCATGGAATCCAACAATTGAGCATTCAATGGTTGTGCACATATTTCACAATCAGAAAATATGAATATCGTATCTGCCTGATGAATGCACATGGGCATCAGGCTTTTGCAGCACTGCAGGATTTCACGTCAAGCTTGGTGTTCAGTATTATATAAAGAAAATGCAGATAATCGAGCACATGCGCCCAGTTTTGTGCTATGTGATCCAGCCATAGAAACCATAGCGTGTTTCTAAAATAGTATGGAGAATGTACAATGTGTGCTCAGTTGGCAGAATAACAAAGATGACCACCATTGTAGACATTAAAGGGTAATTCCACTTTCCCTGGTGAATTTGGAAAAAATTAATTACCTCCTCCAATCTGGCCCCCTCCAAATCCCCCTGCTATAGTCCTACCCCCTCTGCCGATGCGGGTGTACTATCCGTACCCTGTACTGACGTGTAGCGCCACCCTGCGCTCTGGATTTTGAATCTTGCTCGCAATGGCGAAAATTCATTGGTCAGCAACTGACTACGCAGACCAATGAGAAGCACTTCTGACCGCGCTGACCAATGAGAAACACTTCATGCTAAGAGCACTCATCATTTGCAAGCGAAATTCAGAGTGCAGGGCTGCACTACACGGCAGTACGGGGGTATGGATAGTATACCCCCATCGGTGGAGGGGAAAGAGCATTCGCCCAAAGGTAAGTATAGCAAGAAGTGGGAGAGGGGCCAGATTGGAGGAGGTAATTCCATTTTCCCAAATTCATCTGGGAAAGTGGAATTACCCTTTAAGAACAAATTGTGCAGCATCATGTCAAAGCATGGTGTTTTTGGCTTTACCAGGTCATTGTGTTGTACAGCACAAGGCTCAGGGCATAGGCTGATAGCTTTTGGATGGGTGGCTGAAATGGTATAGTGCTCTTTCGAGCTACGTTTTTAAAACAATAAAAAAAAACTGAGCTCCACACCTGCCAAGAAAATAGATTAATCTAAATGAATTTTGTTCTTCTTTATTAATATGCAACCTTGGGGTGTATATTGCAGAATATTGCCAGCAGGTGAAGGACCGGAGAATGTTTAACTAATATCTTGCTGGATTACTGTACAGTATAGTTTGCCAGTTCTTTTTAGTCACATGTAAAACTTGGAGCACAGATGACATCTCAAGGTTTTTGACCATGTGTAAACCAAGATGAGAGCCTGCCCCATCCCAGGGGGTTATGGGTGTGAGTGAGAGAAGAGACCACAAGTATATAATAGCACGTTATGCTTTCACAAGCCATGTTCTTAACTTAACTGGAACTTACTAAAAAGATTCCAAAGCTGTATTTTGCATTTTTGATGCTGCATTTTGTTTTATATTTGAGTTTGAATGCTTGTGTGTTCACATTGTGTATGTAAATACCAATGACAACATTTTTACACTGTCATTGCATTGCTAGCACAGGAATGCTTGTGTCCTAAGCTTCCACCTCCAGTGTGGCTGACACATATCTTTACATGCCATGACCCTTAAGTGTTTTTTTTTAGCTTTAGGCCAAGTAAACTAAGTTCAACCGTTGGGATTTTATAAAAAAAAAATACAAAAACTGGCCACCACTTGGAAGCTCACCATCAGGAAACAATGCACATTTTATTTACTGTACTAATCTTCAGATCAACATACTGCATTGTGATTACCATAATGTTTCTGTTTTTTTTTACTAGTTGTCAGGAGTGATCCATTGTTCATCACTTTTATTGCGTTACCAGTGTTTGTAGGCATTACTGATTTTCTACATTGTCATATGTAATACTTCTATAACACAGGATGGTTCTATTGACTCATGATTACTTCTGCTGTGATCAGAGCTGTCACTGGGGGCTTAGTTTGCGGTGTCTGTGGTGTGTAGAAATGCAATTCAATGGATAGTGTTTCCCAGCCTTCTGCTACTGTGTGATATATATATATATGCCAATATTTGTCACACTGCCATTGTCTCGTGTTAATTGTGTGATGTTTTTAGGTAAAAATGAACAGTGACAATTATGTAATCTAAACTTTCTGTTAAATACTCAGTCATTACAGAGCATCATATAGTTATAATGTATCACAATACGGAGGAAAGGAAACATATTTCCCATAGCTAGTCAATAGCCTAACAGTAGCCCAAGTTATAAGATGGCGGTCATGGGCAGAGCAGAAATAAAGCATGCAGTAGGGGGTGACTTTTGCACTTGTACAGGATAGTAGCCTTGAATGCTTGCTAGAATCCAAATCAATATGTAGTAGTAATAATAGGCCACTTGAAGTAGTTTTTAAGGAGCAAGATGCATATCAATGAGGTGTATTACATAACCAACTCTCTACTAGGGTTGCCACCTTTTCTTCAAATGAAACCTGAACACTCTAGCGCTGTGCATGGCAATTATTTTTTTTGAGAATATAGAGGAGAGAGCGAGGAGAGGCAGCCAGGAGTACATTAGCAATATCCATTACATTAGCCAGCAATACATTAAACAGCAATACACAATAATACAAAGCTACATACTGTTGTTCTGGGTTGGCGCCCGGATGTCTCCAGGTGGCCTGTGCGGGCTCTCAGGTGGGCTGGGAGACTCTCAGGTAGGCTGTTTGGCCTATGGTGTCTCACCAAGGGTCCGCAGGCGGGCAGCACGGTGTCAGGGAGCCAGAAGAGGAGAAGGAGGCGGAGGAGCAATTACAGATGTGGCTGCCGAGGTCCCCGGGAATGCGTGATCTCGGGCAGCATCTGCCTGAAACCCGGATCTGCCTGTGTACAGGTGCCCGCAGTTCAGAGGAAGATCTGATGTCAGGCCAATGTAACTGCCCGAGATTGTGCTGGCTGTGGACCTCAACAGCCACATCTGTCAGAAAATGTAAAGTGCCGGTGTCAGCACTGAGTGTCTTGTGTCCGGGTGTCCTCTGGCTGGACACCCGGATACAAGACTCCAAAACCAGACTGTCCGGGTGAAAACCAGACTGTCCGGGTAAAAAAACGGACAGGTGGCAACTCTACTCTCTACTGGGGCACAGCTGCCATGCCTTTATCAGTGGACAGCTCTTCAACTAATGTGTAGTTTGGTGTATCCAACATGCACTGACCCATAACAGCCAGAGAATCTGCAGGCTGAACCACTCAAAAGATGTATTGTTGCATCAAGCAAAAAAGCAACATGATGCTTTTTGATTGGTCATAATCAATCTTAGTAGTGCAGCAACCTCCAGATTTAGGGGGCTATTCACAAAAGGGTGAAGAGTTTGGAGAAGGCAGGAGAAGTGAACAATCTGGGACAGGGGTGCCCACAAGGTCGATCGCGATCTACCAGTCGATCGCATAGCGATCACTGGTAGATCGCACTGTCCTCTCCTCCCGCCGCTTCTCTGGATCCCCGCTGCTCCCCCCAGCGGGGTTCCGAGAAGAAGTGAAGGACGGGAAAAAAAAGAAATAATGAAAATAAAAAATAGTAAAAATAAAATGAAAAAAAATGTAGTGTTTTTCTTGCCTCAGGTGCAAAAGGAGCTGGCTACGGCTATGCTCCCGTGGTGCTCGTGCAGCTGCCGTCTGAATGTGTCAGACGCTGCAGATGGAAAGGTGCAGGACACCCCATGTGCAACGTCGGCCACACGAGCACCACGGGAGGACAGGACGCCGGGACCTGTAGGGCGCACTAATATGTAAGCCGGCCGACTCCCTGCGTTCAGGTGCGGGAGAGGGTGTGGGGCTATATTGAAGTCAATGGCATCGCCCACAGTGCGATCTCCCGCACTCGGAACGCAGGCATGTTAGTGCCTTCATTCCGGTCCAGTGCGATCTGCAAAAATAGTGCTTGCAGAATTTTTGCGGATCGCCCTGGACTGGAACACAGGCACTAATGCAGGCGATCGCAATGTGGGCGAGGGGCCTGCCTGCGAAGCCTGGCTGCGGTGCCATTGACTTCAATGCACCGCCACGCCCCCTCCCGCCCCTGAATGCAGGTGTTTTTTTTCGTTGGTAGATCTCAATGAGCTCCTCATTTGAAAAGTAGATCTCCAGATGAAAAATAGTGGGCGCCCCTGATCTAGGACAACATAGCTGAACTGGAAAGTGAGCTGAATTGGAGAATTTTTCCAAATCAGCTATGTTGTCCTAGATTGTTCACTTCTCCTGCCTTCTCCAAACTCTTCACCCATTAGTGTTGCTATTGTTGGCATCATTCATGCTCCTTCGTGCTTACGTTCTTTAATAACAAAGCTATACTCACCCAATCCTCAGAGCCGGCCAACTATGACAGCGCTCCCTCCTGCCTGTTTCCTCCTATTCAAATGAGGGCTGTTTTGCTTGTGTCTCTATAATTGAATCTATTATGCTGCCTTGTATATATGCCTCAAACAACTGGTGCAGGGCTACAGGATACTGGCATAGTCAGCAAAC